CTGGCCTCCATCCCCTATGAGCCTCTGCGCTTCTACTCGCCGCCGCCGGGCCCTGAGGTGGCCCCCTCGCCCACGACTCCCAGCCCCACGGTCGCCCCGCTCGCTTCTGCCCTCCACCCCGAGGAGTTGTGCGAGCTGGAGATCCGGATTAAGGAGCTGGAGTTGCTCGACATCACTGGGGACGGCTTCGACTCCCAGCGCTGTGGGTGACTTCGCCAGGGCCGCCTGGGCCCACCCCTAGCTGCCCGCCCTCCCTCTCTGGTTAGCTGCACAAGGCTGCTGTAGGCTCACACCCCAGCCCTCAGGAGTCCCTGATCCAAACTGTGTCCCCCAGGTCCCAGACTTCGCCCCTTCCTGGGTTTCAGCTGACTTCTTCCTCCACCACAGTCTGGACTTCAGGAGCCCTTTCCTTTCAGACTCCGTCCTAAGCCATATCTGTAATCTGGACTGGGCCTCACACCTAGATCTCCACCCACCGCTCCCCCATCTTCTCGTTTAACTCTGCACAGTAGTATTCAGTACCCTGGGGTCTGGGCTTCCAACCACCAGAGGCAGCCTTTATCCCTAGAGACCTTGAAGCGTTCCTGTCCAGTCTTTAAGTGGGGCCTTCAGGTGGGAGGTGGGGAAGTAGGTGAGGGTCAATTGCAGTGTCTGTGGGGGAGCTAGGACCTGGGCAGGACCCAGAAAGCCCAAGGACTTTCACCCAGAGGCTTTGGACGCTCCACTTCTCAGTGCGGGAGGCTGCCCTGCACTGTGGCCCTGTTACCCCACACCAGGGTCCTGTACTCTGCCATCTGATCACAGGGTGAAGTCTGAAGTATCTGGAACAGGCCAGGTGCTCTGGTGTGTGGGCTGATTCCTGCTGGAGGGTAAGGGAGCTAAGTCCACTTGTACTCCCAGAAAGACCTTTTGCACAGACTTCAGGAGCTATAGGCTGTCCTTTCCCATCACCTGTCTGGTTAAGCTTGCACTTGACCACTGGTGGAGGGCAGATGGTTCTAGAAGGACTGCTCCAACCGTTACAGACTGTCACCGGGAAGCCAGGCCCTGATGCAGAGAGGAGCCAGCTGCTCACTTTGATCTTCAGTTCTTTGTGCCCTGATGAAAGAATTCAGTCACGACCCATAGGTGGCCACACAGAAATCTAGGTAGAATTTATTGTAGAGTAGACGGGTATTCAGAGAGTTAAGCCTTCAAGAGAGGCCAGCAGTGCCACAAAGCCATCTGCCCCAGGCAGGAGTTTGGATGCCTTTTTATGCACACAAAAGTTAATCCTCGTCCGTGGATGTAGCTCAGTGGCACTGCACCTGCCTGGCAGAAGTTACTCCTGGGGTTCTGGGAAGTATGATGATTATCCCTTCTACTTCCCTAATGTATGTCCCTATCAACATTTCTCTTGC